TCAGGTGTGTATTGTACCTGGAAAGTCCTTGCGAGTTGGATGCTCTATCCCATTGTGTTTATGAAAGCTTGTAAAGGCATCGTAGTCAGCCGTAAATAAGGAGATGAGTGCAAGTTTGAATGGCTTGCCGAGATAATTACATCTGTGCCATTAGTGCCAGCCACTGAGTTGGCCAAATTCGCCATGGACCCCGGAAGCAAGAGGCGCAAATTGATCGGTGAGGCCCAGGAGGTTGTCAACACCCTGCACCTCAACGTGTCGTTGCCCAGCGGCCGGTCTGCGTCGCTATCGCTTCCACTGGACGGCACCGTTTTGGATTTGAAATTGGCGGCACAGCAGTCTTTGGGGCAAGGTCTCCTCAGGCTTTTTGCCCCCGATGGGCGACTTTTGAATCAGAAAAGAACTCTTCAAGCTTCGGGGCTGCAAGATGGAGATAGCATCACTGCTGTTGTTCAGTCGAAGCTCAAAGCAGCTGCAACAGAGAGCACCGTGGCCTTGTGGTGTTCTGGGGGCGGTGTCGTCACATGGAACCGTTCTGTCCTTGTGGACGACAGCATCAGCGATGGCAGAGTCAGGGGTCAGCTCGAGAATGTTCGGAAGATTCATGCCACACGGGACGCTTTTGCTGCAATTCTAGCAGATGGCAGCGTTGAGACGTGGGGCAATCCAGACTTTGGTGGCGACAGCACCATGGTCAGGGATGAGCTCAAGAATGTTCAGCAGATATGTGCCACACACTCCGCTTTTGCTGCAATTCTAGCAGATGGCAGCGTCGTGACGTGGGGCAATCCAGACTTTGGTGGCGACAGCACCATGGTCAGGGATCAGCTCAAGAATGTTCAGCAGATATGTGCCACACACACTCCGCTTTGGCTGCAATTCTAGCAGATGGCAGTGTTGTGACGTGGGGCAGTCGATGCAACGGGGGCGACAGCGCCAGTGTCAGAGATCAGCTCAAGAACGTTCGGCAGATTCATGCGACACACAACGCTTTTGCTGCAGTTCTAGCAGATGGCAGCGTTGTGACATGGGGCAATCCGCGTTTAGGTGGCGGCGCCGACAGCACCATGGTTAGGGATCAGCTCAAGAATGTTCAGCAGATTTGTGCCACACGCTCCGCTTTTGCTGCAATTCTAGCAGATGGCAGTGTTGTGACGTGGGGCGATCCATTCACTGGGGGCGACAGCACCAGAGTCAGGGTTCAGCTGAGAAATGTCCAGCAGGTTCATGCCACAGATTCGCCTTTGCTGCACTGCTAGCAGATGGCAGCGTTATCACGTGGGGCGATCGACGGAATGGTGGCAACAGCACCAGGGTCAGGGATCAGCTCAAGCGCGTTCAGCAGATTCATGCCTCACACTATGCTTTTGCTGCAATTCTAGCAGATGGCAGCCTTGTGACGTGGGGTGATGCTGGTGACAGCGCCAGCAAACGGTGAACCCTCAGCCATGACGGTACCGGGCCTATTTGGGATGATAACCACCAATCCCATAGAAAGAATTGTGAAACATCACGAAAAAAACAGAAAATCTGAGTTATATCCCCCTAAAATTTCCCAATGATCCAATGAGTATTGGTAAATCTTCCGAAAGATCTTTCCATTAACAATCCCATATCTCCCATATCTATGGTTGGTAAATGAATCAACATCGGCAGGTCGCTGTGAACATCTGAGGTGTTTATGGCTTACATGGTCAGCCTTTGGCTCTTCGCTGGGATCTACAAGGTCTTTGTGGAGGCAGGAACCATCAGCCAACCGGATGTTACGGATGTTATGGATGTTACGGATTGATTGGGAATGATTGGGATACCCACTGGTGAACTAACATAGCAATGGAAAATGGCCATAGAAATAGTGGATTTTCCCATTAAAAATGGTGATTTTCCATTGCTATGTTAGTTATGTTAGTTCACCAGAGGGTACTACTTTATGAATCATCAACAATTATAAGAATCGGATGTCATCCAAAACTATGAGCAATAGACCCAGAAACGCTCAAATTGAAGTGCCATGTTTCGCAGTGAAACATTTTTTCGATGGATTGATCCAATGCCACATGTCTGCTGGGGTGGTCTCAGAGGTGTTTCTGTCTGTAGTTTGAACCTGGTGATTTTGGTTTGTGGCTTGGAGTGCTGGGGATTGCCTTCTGAAAGCTTTGAAAGCTTCCGCAGGGATTCCATGGCACTGCAGGGTTTTCACATGAAGATAGCTGCTATCACTGGAGATTCATCCCTTCATAGTTGTCTAGTCCGTGCAGATCGACTCGCACTGTTATTGTTTCTCAGCCCGGCAGGCATGATCACCCCCATCAAGTCATGTAATGTGGTAAGCCCTGGCTGCCATAAACAGCGACCATTTCGGGATGGTCTCCACCCAGAAGAATGGTGATGACTGGGGGATGGTGCAGATGGCATTGGGTGAATCCCACATTACTGGGATGATGGTTTCCCCATTGGCATCCACTCCCGACTTTGATGTCAACTCCATGGTGGTTGTTGTCTACACGTGATATCCCATCGAGTCAGTCATACCATGTCTTGATGATTGGAGATCCCTATGTTCGATGCTTAAAACGACACTTTTTGCCACTTATTTCCCAATGTCCAAATTGTGAACCATCCACAATTTGTCATGGGTCAAACCGGTAAAACCATGAACAAATGCTGCTGATATAAACCTCAAGTGATGCTGCTGGTGTTCCCACCACCATTTTCCAACAGTTCCTTCATGGCATTTCTCCCGTCGTTCGCAGGATCTGGTGGATGCTCGCATCAAACTCTGGGCTCCACGCTCTGTTCCTGGGTTGAGTGGGTGATTTGAAAGACGTTCAGACGTTCTGCTCATTTTTCACGCCTGAAATTTTGTGGTTTCTTTGTTTTTTTTCTTAACATTTACAGTAATTATTTTGTGATGTGTTGGTGTCTTATCAAGTCTGAGTAGATTCTGAAAGCAAACGCATGGTGGTGATGTTCTTCAATTGGACCACCTGGAAACATCTCTGTTCCCCATTTTTTTGTTGAAAAACCACCATTTTTCTTATGGATTTCTCAAGGAGTGACTGGTTAATTCACCAGGACCGGGGAATCTAATGGACATATCTCGACCAAAATCCAAGTCGTAGGGAGGGCTTCTGTTGCATGTGTTTAGTGCTGATGAACAAACATGGAAAATCGCTGGGTGTTTCTGAAAATTGAGGTAAACTAACACCATTGGTCTTCAATTTTGTTCACTTGACTTTGGGTTTTAATGATTAGATGGTCCAGATTTTAGCTCCGCATAGCTGCGTTCAGATCACCAAGCAGCGGCAGAAATTCCCAGGGCGAATCGTTTGCAGGTGATATTGCAGCCTGAAATTGGAGGTTTCACATGTAGATGTGGGCATCGTTTTGGTTCCGGATGGATATGAAGAACCAGTGATAAGTTCAGATTTTTCTATGAATTTTGCCTTCTACTTCTATCCCAAAAAGATGTAAAAACAAACAATGCTCTATGGTCTCATCTTTGAAAGCCTGAAACTTCAAGGGGATGGCCCAGCACCAGCGAAACCGAGGAACCTCAAGCAGTGCCAAGGGAACAGGAGCGACTGGGCGACTGGGGGGCTTGCAGGTGAACTTACCATAGGTCATATCATGTTAGATCCCAACTTATGGGCTTAAAATCCCATGAATATATACATTTTCAGATCTAGCTTGCGCCCCCAAGTACCATCCCATAGCCATGCTTTCCGGTCTTAAAAAGCCTTTCCGCAGGAGTTGAAGTGGGTGTTTTTCTCAATCCGAAGGCCCATTTTTTAAATTGCCAGTTGGATCGGAAATTCGGGTTTTTATCGCTAAACATCGATGGTTCACCATTTTCATCAATTTTCCCTTTGAACGTTTCCATAAATTGCTGGTATACAGCAGAACAAAACATTTTCAAACACACTAATTTTCGCAGCTTAGGGTGTCCCTCATTTATGCAGGCTCCCTGATCAAAATCGGGTTTCAGATCCACCCAGTTAGTCCTCGGGTTGAAACTTACTGGTGAGCCACTGTAGCCACTGTACCAAGTCATTCCTTCACCCGAAAATCCTCCAGAAAACATGGTCTGGGGATGACATCAGATATTTGGGACCATAGAATGGAGGCATTTAATGTAAACGGGGGAGGAGATTAACCGTTTGTAAGGCTTCTGAAATTGGCATTGGGTCATTGGCCATGTTTTTTCTTCCAGACTTGATCTTGAAAGGAAAGCTTAGGACCCTGGTTTCCCCCTCCGGCTTGTTTGATGGCAACTTGGAAACAATCAGGGGTATCGGGGATGAATTTCGGTGTCCTTGTCGTCTTGTCTGGTCGGAACGGGACACTTTTTGATCGATATTTGAATGGTTGGGTAATGTCTTAGTGCTATCTATTGCTATCTCATTATATGGTTCCATTCACCAACGACATTTAGAGCTCATGCCTTGCCGGTGGCAAGATTGGTCAGGTGAGAATAAGTTGTTCAGCTCCATTTGGTTTTCTTTGCAGATCGGATACAGTGTCAAATTTTGATTCTTGATTCTTGATCATCATTTTCCCCATTATGTTGTGTTGATAAATCATTCTAATACCCATCATCGGGGTATTAATCATCAATTTCCCACATGTTCCCAATTTTTCCCATATGTTCCCAATTTTTCCCATATGTTCCCAATTTTTCCCATATGTCCCCCATTAAAGATCACACACATACTATATAATACTATATAAACATGCTGAGATTTTGTGGCATTTTTAGACACTGAAGTTGCAGAGCTGATTGAAAAAATGAAGGTGGTACCGCTGTGATTGAGGTCTGAAACCATCGTGGTAACCACTGGTTAGGGATGTATAGTGATTTATGCTGATTAATCACTTTGCAATGATATTGTTTTTGCTCTGAAAATGGGTTATTTTTTCCCCCAAATAGCCATCAAAACTTAGGGAACAGGAATGGACACAGCCAGATATTTAGGAACTGGATAGATGGTCTTAGATGGTTCGCTGACCCTAAAGAGGACCTGAGCTGCTAGCTTTTCTTAAAAAGGACATATGGATCAAAATTATCGACCCCCAAGCTATGCTGCGAAAAATTGATCAGCCTTGGGTCGGAAAGGTACCCAAATGACTTTGATAGCCGATTTGGAGATCTGAGCTCTCATCATATTCCAATATATTGCAATTCTCCTGGCTTCTCAATCACCTCAGCTAAGTAGGGGGCATCCCTGTGAACCAAGACTTGGTGAATTATTTCTTCCTAACAAAATTCTCATGATTGATATAATTATGTAATTCTTGGGAAATCTTGGGAAAGCTTCATCAAAAAATGCTTGCTTCAGCCATCGCGTCCAGGAGTATGGTCTTCTCTCGCGCAGCAGCGCGCCGGAGCGCGCATGACGTGTTCACGCGCAGGCGGTGAAGGTATCTGGGGTTTCTTAACATGGGGGCTCCCCAAAAACCATTGGTTTCAATGCTAAAATGACATCATTTTGGATGATTTGGGGGTTATATGCCTCCATTCTAGGAAACCTCCATATATCCACTATTTGCAGAAACTACTTGGAAGATTGTCTAGTGTTTTGGGCCATGTTGAACGAACTATATAGTACGATCGAGAATGGTATCATTGTGGCAAGAATGGCAAACCAAATACGTAATCTAGTATGTCACCATGTCTGAGATATTTCCAGAACTATCATTGGATAAATTTAGGTACATTTAAATAATCCCTGCATTCAATTTGCTGAATTTTCGGAGATGTGCAGGGTGGACAGCCGGGCTCGGAATTCCCACGGTTGTAGATGACTTGCATCTAAGCAGATGGAGATTTCTTGCTACTAGTAGGACATATGTTGAAGCAGTTTATAGGACATGTGTTTATCAATAGATTCTTCCGAGATGTTTTCAAAAGATAATCTGATGAATCTTTCAACCTCAGGCTACTCGGATGTGTATCCAAGTTCATCTTTGCCATAAGCAGCAACAACAGCAGCATGTCGCTTTTCAAATCGAAACCCGATTCCCCTATGAGATTCCAGGTTCCTGCCATTGCTAGGTGGCCTTTGAGACTCGTCTCGATTTTGCATGATTTTCCTGAAAAAACACGCCACATATCGTGGCCTCCCCAGTCTGCCCAAATATTGGTGGCTCGACCGCAGCTTCCGAAACGCTTCCGCTGAAGGCCTTGGTTCTGCTGGGCGACGTGAGCTTTCAGGTCTGGACCAGCCCGTTCCCGTTTTGTTTGTGTTGGGCCGGATTTGGTCATGTCGGAGTCGGGGGGGAAAGCGATGATCAACCATGAGTCAAACTTGATGATTGATGATTTACTCGCAATAAATGAGACGACTTGCCAACAATCACTGGGAAAATAGAATTTCAGTGATAGTGATCAGTGACCATGAGCACGGTTGATCACTTTTCCAGTGAATTTCTTTGAAGGTTGATTCAGGTTGATCATCACTTTCCCGTTTAAATGAAATAGTCAACGCATATCAAGCTTTTCATGGTCAGGCAAATCCGCATCAGAAGAAGGAACAACTTGAGAAATAGAATAGGGGATTCACCAGCCATGGGAAGAATTGTCAACAATCAATGGGGATCAAAGTGTAGACCAAAATTATTCACCTCCCAAAAATGATGTTAAAACATCTCCCAAAATGACCAATTTCGTGAGTTTGTTGGTGTACCCGAGTTTTGAACCATGAGCACAGTTTACATCACGAATTTTGGATGGTTGAAGCAGTGTTTTTTCCTTGTTCATCCATGGACGGTTTTTTCTCGGGTCTAGGTGAGGCTCCGAGCCGAATCAACCAGATCGGAGAACGCCAAATCGCCAGAGGTTTCCGTTTTGGCATAGGGCTATACCCCCCCGGTCCAAGTCACCGGCCGATTTTCGTATTGAAACCTTTTTGGGGTGATCGGTGACTTGGCGGGGATTCCCCATGCTGGCCATGAAGTCCCTGGGCCCGATATGGCCAGGTGTGGATTGCTGGTACGGATGTTGGGAAGCTGAGTGCTCCGGATGACAAGCTGGACATGGCTGGTTTTTTTGTGCAGAAATCTATATGTAGTACTTGGATCATCCCATTTATTTGATCTTATTTGTACCCCAAGTGATCCTCCAAGTATCCCCCGCCCAAGGGTTGAGGATATTGATGGTGGTTCATAGCCCCTATCCACAGGGCCGGAATTGAACAGTTGACCTTTGAGAGGTACTCTTTGATTTCCATGAAATTGTGCCAGCTTGGTCAAATCTCTGTTTTAACATTAAACCGTTAAACCCACGATTTTGTTAGATTATCCCGGAATTATCCCCCATGATTAGTGAGAACACTGGTACATGGATGTGTCAGGGTGAGACATGGCGAGGTGAGCAGTGTCCAACTTACTCTGCAGCTGGTTTTCAGGTGCGAAATGTGCCGAACTGTGCCCCAGGGCTTGATGCAAAACCCAGGTAAAAGATCACAGCTGCCAACTGAAGAAAGGTCCCGCTGCTTTGTT